AACTCTGCATAACTGCTAACTGTCACATTTGGCACAATATGGAACCAAGAACCTGAACAGCCTTTTATAATTGAGGAAATATAGCCCATGCTAAAACTTTCTGAGACAGCAATATTTAGACCCAGATAATTTCATAATTTCGCAGCGTGCTGTATCTTCCTCCTTTCCTTCCATCCTTCTTCCTTCCTTCCTTCCTTCCTTCCATCCTTCCTTCCTTCCTTCCTCCTTCCCTCTCTTCTCCTCCCCTCCTCTTTTCCTCATCCTCTTTTTTTCTCCTCCTTCTTTCCTTCCTTTCTTTCTCTCTCTCATTTTGAGACAGGGTCTTACTCTATGGCTTGAGACTGGAATTTACTATCTAAATGAAGCTGGTCTTGAACCCAAAGAATCTACCTGCCTCTGCTCTCAAGTGCTGGGATTAAAAGAGTACAGCATTCTGACTGTATAATGTATTTAATATAACTGATATAATGTATACCCAATCATTTCTAGGAGAGGAAAGGACAGGAACCATACCTTTCCTGTATTTTGTGACATCAGAATTACCTCTACAAGAAAGAAAATAACTGTACCAAAAGAAAAAAGACAAAACATTTTTCATGAATAGAGATAAAACACAGCCTCAGAAAATACTAGCTAATCCAATCTAAAAATTTGCTAAACCCGAATTGCATGGCCATCTCGGATTCATTTGTGAGTGTAAGCCTATTTCAGTACTTAAGGATCTATGCAATCTACAATATTGATTATCTAAACAAAATCCCCATGAAAATATCAGTCAATGCAGAAAAAGGATTTGGCAAATTTCAATACTCATTTATGATGGACTCTTAGCCTGGTAGGAATGGAAGGTAATTCTTCAGTTTCATAACCTACAAAAAGCCACAGAGACCACACTTACTATGCTGTCTTTGAAAGGATACTTTCCCCATAGGTTTGAGAGGGAAGCAAAGAAGTGCCCATCCTCATTCTCATTTAGAATCAAACTGCAAGTCCTAATATATACACCCAGGCAGGGAAAAGGAATAAAAGACCCTCATATTGAAAGGAAAGAAACAAAAGTATAATTCCTTCCCTGATGTTATGGCAATCTGTACAAAAATCCCAAGGAATATTCAGATAGTCTCAGAAATAAGCCAGTCTATCAGAGCCATTAAATATGTAATCAGCACAAAAAAATCATTTTTAGGTATCTGTGGAACTAAGAAATCATAAATTCTATTTCATTTTATTATTCTTTTGAGACAGAGTCTTACTATGTAGCTCTGTCTGTCCTGGAACTTACTTTGTAGACCAGGCCAGCCTTGAACTCAAAGAAACCTACCTGCCTCAGCCCCCCAGGTACTGGAAATAAAGATGTGTACCACCATACCTGGATCAAAACTTTTTAATTACCACCTATGAAATACTTGGCTAGAAACCTGACATGGCACACTTAGCATCTATCTGCCAAAAATTATAAAACACAAACAAAAGAAATCAAATAAACTATTGAGGTACATCCTGTGTTCATGGATGGAAATGGAAGAGTGGAGGTCAATATAGTTTTCCACCCCATAATGAAGACGTTGATTTTTCCTAATTTATATTTTGATTAAATATAATGTCAATTGAAATGCCAACAGAATTATCTTTTTGTAGCTATAGAAGAGTTCATTCTAAAGATTGTCATGGATAGGTTCAGGATATAAAAGAGCAAAAGCCAGTTCTTAATTTTCTTTCTACCAGAAACAATTTTGAAAAAAAGCACTAAGGTAGAAGAATCAGCTTCAGTATTCAAGAGAATGTGCTGGGTCCACAGGGGTCACACACCCACCAGTGAAGGAAATAGAAGAATGTCGAATGTCTAGATATACACATGTTTTCCAGTTAGTTTTGTAAAGGTGCTGTGGTAGTTTGAATGAGAATGACTCCCATAGGTTCGTATGTTTGAATATGCGGTCCCCAGCTAGTGGAACAGTGTGAGAAGGATTAGGAGGTGTGGCTTTGTTGGAGGTTATGTGTCACTGAGGATGTACTTTGATACTTCAAAGTTCTCTCTCTGCCTTTCTCTGTCTCTTTCAAACACACACACACACACACACACACACACACACACACACACACCTCCCTGCTTAGTCCTTTGGATCAGATGTAAGCTCTCAGCTATTGTTCTAACACCATGCCTTACTACCTGCTATCATGTTCCTGACTTGATGGCCATGGATCCTGAGAAACTGCAAGCAAACCCCCAATTAAATTTGCTTTCTTTTATAAGTTGCCTTGGTCATGGTTGTTGCCACAGCTGTAGAAAAGTAATCAAGAAGGGTGCAAAGGCAACTGTTGGAAAAAATACAGTATTTAACAAAGGGCATTGGAAGGAAAAATGTTTGGCTCCATCACGGACATACGGAATTGTAATATCCTTGAGCAGGTATTAAGCAATCTGTGGTTTAAATTTTATTAATTATTTGATGATTCATACATACATAAAATGTATTCCAATCATATTCACCCCACAGTCTGTGCTTGCTTTTAAGATTTAATTATTTTCCTATGTGATGAAAGCTTTGCCTGTATATATATAAGTGTACCATGTGCCTGGCTGGTGCCCACGGAGATCGGAAGAGGACATTGGATCCCCTGAGTCTGGACTTATGGAGTTATCATGTGGCTGCTGAAAAATGAACTCAGTTCCTCTACCACTGCAACAGGTGCCCTTAACCACTGAGCCATTGCTCCAGGGTTGCCAAGACCTCTGTCTTCCTGCGTTTTTGGTGCTAGCTAAGGTTTGGATACTGCATGCTTGGTTTAGCAACTATCACCTGGCTAACGTTGTGTCTTACTATTTACAACAGGACCCTGGGCAATTTCAGGGGTATTTAATGCTCAAGCCCTGGGAATTCAGTTCATGGTGTCAGTTTTGGTCCCACTTGGTCATAGAAGTTTTGCCCTTTCCACTTTCTTAATACAAATGTTAGACACTGGAAAAATTGTAGTTCCATCCCAGGTCTGCCCATCTCTCACATATAAGCAGATCTTAATTATGAGTGCTATTTCAGAAGGGAGAAGTAGAGCACTGTCCATGGTTTCCTGTGTGATTTGCTAATGGTTACTGCCTTTAAAAAGCCACGTCCTTTCCGAATTATGTGTCCAATTCTAACTTCCTTCAAAACTTAATCACTATACTCTGGACACTCCTTTTTCTTGTTTTTAAATTCCAGTTGTCTCATGGTGCTTGCCAGCCCGAGCTGAGAACATCACTGCCTGTTTTAATGTCTCAGTGGGTTTCTATAACACAACTGCAGAAGTTTCTGGAACCCAAGTCTGTTGCCAGGTGAAGCTTTCCATCTGAAATGTGAATGTGACATGCTTTCCTGTCACTTGGAGTGCTGTTATAATTAAGGGCTGGTGAACCCTCTTTCGGTTTGAGTTTGAGTGTATGATGTTTATTCAAACAGCTTGGTTTCAATAAAATGTCTAAATGTGTGCTGCCAGCACTTTCCCCCATTAACTTTTAAATCCCTGTGAGTTTCAAGGGAAATCCAGTTCGTATGTTTCTCATTCATTTGCATTTAACTCATCAGAATATTATTTCGCTAGAACAAGTTCTCATCCAAGTTTGGGCATATAGCTCTTGAGAGCTTCAGCTAGAGGATATTCGTCATAAGTCTACAAAATAGAGAGCAAGATGAAGCTTCAAAACGTTGGGCCATAGTTGGCTTTGCTCCCAAGCCTTGTTTCAAATGCCTTGTTCTTGACTTTGTAATAGATTAGCAGCATTCTTGTACTATTCCAGGAAAATATGATCCTTCACTTGGTACCCCGACTCAATCTTGAAGGCAGTATAGAAGGTTACTGTGGAGAATAAACAGTGTACAGGACCCCTGTCTTTACTTTTAGTAAAGAGGAGTTGTTATTCCAGAAACATCTCCAAGACAATAATCTGTGTGCCTATTTGACCTGGAAGCTTGGGAGACAGGGGAGGGACACAGTGGCTTACTTCTCTCCCATGATAGCTACTCCTAAGGAACTTCTTAAGCCACAGAACCATGTGAATCAATGTTTAAATCTCTGTTAGAGTTGAAAATGTGACATCCTGTGCTATTACATTAATAGCAATATGGATACAAGAAACGGTTCCTACTTATGAACACACTATGTCAGAGCTTAGTCATGAAAATAGGCCCATCTTAAGGCTTTCAATAGGGAGACTTAACAGAGGGATATAGTCAAACAGAGATAAGAAGTCCCAAATTGCAAAACTAGAAAACTGAACCTAGAAAAATCTACTAGACATAGGATTAAGCTACTATGTACAAGACTAAAAGATTAAAGAGCTTGGCACTGTAGGCATTGGAGGCTGGAAGATGAGATCCTGTGGAGATGGACAGCAGGCTTCTAATAACCAGAGATGCTATTCAGTTATTCTCCCTGAAGCCCCCCCTCACCTGAAATCCTTGTTGCATAAATCTGGTCTTGTGCTTCTGCACAAAGATGATGCTAAAAACAATTGCATCTTCCAGGGTAGAGAGACCTGTTACCAAGAGTTAAGGTCCAAACTGTATTCCCACTGAAACTGTTATTGGTTACTCTTCTCCTTGATGTAGCAAAATAACCAGACAAAAGCAGCCTAAGGAAGGAGGGAAGGGTTTGTTTGGTTCATAGTTTGAGGGTCTAGTCCATCATGGTTCAGAAACACAGAAGCAGGAGTATGTAGTGGTCGGTCTCATGGCAACTGCAATCAGGAAGCAGAGAGTGATGAACACTGGTACTCAGCTTGCTTTCCCTTTTTTTTATTCAGCCTGGACCAGGAATGCTACTAACTATACTTAAAGAAGGTCTTGCAACCCACTTAACCCAATCAAGAAACTCCTTCACACACATGACCAGAGAGAACCTTGTCTCCAAGGTGATTCTAGATCCTGACAAGTTACATGTCAGTATTGACCATCATAACGTTGATGGTCATTAATTCTTTTCAAGTTCAGAGGCTACATGCTTACCTCCTTACTCTGTTTCAGTGTCTAAGAACTTTGTCATTCTCAACTGTGAAATGGACCTAGTTGTCATTGCTATGTCTGCCTGGATGGTGTACTTTGGAAAATAAGTAAATGTGAAGACATTTGGTAAGTTATAGAGCACTGGATATATTTAAGCCTTACATTTCTTCAACAAAAAAATTTAAAATAAGAAAAATGAAGGGCAAAAGTTGCTTTTAATCCTGCCATCTATTGAACTGCATGATTTTTTATGTAATCTGTTTTATTTCCTATCATTGTTGCTATTTTAAACTCAGAGCACTGGATTTTTCATCTTAGAACATTGAGTCTAACATTTCTCTTCTAAAATAGATTCACAATTTTTAAACACTAAGTTACTTTTTTACGAAATAAGTATACGGAGGAAGGAAGCAATTTTGAATAAAATCAGATTATTAAAAATAGTTCTAAGGATATTTTACAGCTGGATGTAATGACACTAAAAGGAAAAGCTTAACCATGTTTGTAAAATTGTAAACAGAAATAAAAATCCATGTTGCTTTTTACTTTTTCCTAATTATATAGCATTTATGCAGGTACAAGTGATAATGTTTATAAAGTATGATACAATTATGGGACCTGATACAGACATATGTTCTTACATCAGATTTGAAATTATTTATGTATTGAAATTGAATGCTTGCTTTGCAGAATTATTAAGAAATAAATGTCATCCAGCAATTGGGAGGGAAGATTTACAGACTTCATTTAAAGTGTATAGTTCTGGGCACTGGCTATCTCCAAAAATCTGGACAGGTTGTGCTCCCTCAGTAGCAAAATGGTATTCTGTTTCCTTTACATTTTTGTATTTTCATTTAGTAAAGCAATGAAAATTCAATGAAAATCTATTGCCCATGGACTCATTTCTAATTCCTAGTTAATCAGAATTGACAATGGGTACCTTCTCCTGGATTTTCTTACTAGGTAGTTGTCATGATTTCCTCCCCATCAAAACATACAGCACTGGTGTGGTACCCTTAGTACCCCCGAGGCATTTTATTCTCTAGCCCTCTCTATCACCATCACTAAAAGTGGGTGGCAATAGACTGTTTCCCCCTTGGGATATTTTTAGAATAGGTTGCTTTTATGTGTATTATTTTCTTAGTCAATGAGCTTTGGAAGACAAAAAGCTATCAGTCTGTTACCCAGTGGCTTGCTTTCACACAAAAATACCCTTAGGGGAACCACGGTGACTGGTAGAGGAGAAGGTATTGCTTCATGTTTCGGCTTCTTCCCATGAAAATGAATTGGAAAGGTAGAACTGTTGTCACATGGGGCATTCCAAGGGGAGCACCACAATCAATTGGAAAAGGGAAATGTGAATTCGCAATAGCTATTTGGTCTTCCCACTCCAGTGGCAGAAAATGTTAAAATTGTATCTGGTCGGAAGCATTCATAGTCACAATTGAATTTCACTAGAAGTGTCTCACACAGTGCCTAAATGAATGCGGAGTCGGCATTCCATCGGCCCTTTAATGAATCTCAAGGACTCACACAGCCAACACATTGTCCCTAGAAGGTGTATTTCTTCTAGGGACAATAGAATGTATATATGTGTGACACACACATATATATCTATTTTCTCCCAAGGAAATGGCCCCAAAGTGAGGAACATTATTCTTTCAATGTAAGTGCCCTTGGGATGTCAATGGGATATTTTCTAATCTTTACCCGCAAGTCCCCCCTTTTTTCTTAAAAAATGACTTTACAAAGTCAAGAACTGTTCTTAATATGGCTGCATTGACAGTGTATAAGGTTTGCAAAAGCTGTCACAGCATCAATCAAATGTCAAGTCTATAGCAACTTTGAAATGTCAGTCAGAGTTAATGCACAGGATTTTCCATTTGAGGGGGCTCTGCTAGTTTCAGGGTATTTTCTGCTGCCCCCATTCACTTCAGTCTGTAACACTGATGCATATTTTGTAGGTTAACTTCTCATTGTACCTGTGAAAAGTAAGGTAGGGTCATAAATTAAAAGATATACATATATATGCATAATCTGAGGAACATAAAAAGAAGAATTGAAGGGATGTTTTTGATATCTCAAATAAAATCTTATGATTAGGGAATACCACATTTACATATATTCTATAGCCCTATGATATTTACACATTTCTATATTGCAGCAACATTTCTAATATAAAAGACATGATTTGAACATTTTAAGCATGCAGTACAGCAGCATTAAATACTTTCAAGTTATTATGTGACCATCACTGCCATCTGTCTTTGGAACTTCCTATTGCCAAACTGAGAGTTTGTCTAGGATGCTCTGATTGTATATGGGTTGAATGTGTTCTCTGGTAGCAGATACTGAGGGATTGGAGGGACTGATGGATAGAGTCTAGTTGGAGGTCATTATGTATCAAAGGCACTGCCTGTGGCAAGGAAGGTCCCAGAGGAAGTCCGTGAGAACACCACTATAAGAAACACAAGTCAGGTCACTGCTCCATCCCCAACCTCACTGGGTTCCTGTGTGACCTCTCTCTGTTGCATACCCCTCTGCCATTATGATGCCATACCCCTGTGGTGATATAGTCAAGGGAGGATGGGGGCCTTCCCAGAGCCTTGTCCTGTTGTTAGACTATCAGTTTTCAAAACTATGAGAAATGTGTGTGTGTGTCTGTCTGTCTGTCTGTCTGTCTGTCTGTCTATGTGTTTGCATGTGGGTCAGAGGACAACCTTGAGTAGCCTTGTTTTCCATTTTGTTCAAGGCAGAGCCTCTCTTGCTCACTGCTGTATGTGCCAGGCTAGGTCTCCTTTGGGCTAATAGAAATTCTCTCATCTTCCAGGATGGGTACCCTGGGATCACATAAGTATGATTCTCCCCTCTATGAATGTATGTATGAGAACTGAACTCAGGGTGTCAGGCTTGCACAGCAAGTACTTTACTCTCAGAGTCATCTCTCCAGCCCCTCATCTTCTTTACAAGTAGTCAATCTCAGGTATTTAATGTGGCATAGATAATGAAAGCTGGAGTTACACATTTTGAATTGAACTCTTCTGGGTGTCTTGTATAAACAAAACCATTAAATATTTGTTAGTTTGTGTATGATTTCTTTCACTTAGCAAAACATCCTAGAATTGTATCCACCTTGCTATGTTTTAAAAATTATATTCTATCTTGGTATTAAAGGCTGAAGCTTCCATAATACCCCAATACTTCTTGAAACTGCCTTCCATTTTAGTGTAGTTGTAGAGGCAGTGTTCAAATAAATTTAGATCAGAAACATATTGATTCCTACATATAAATCACTGCTGTACATGGTCAGGTAGGTGTTACTATCTTGTAAATTGCAATTGCTTCTATAATAACAGCAGTACTGTAACCATGTGGGGGGCATGATTCTTTATGCCGCATGTATTTGTGTATTTAAATTCATAATAGTCATGTAAAGGTAACTTACTGTTTTCCTTCCTAGTAAAGTGTAAGCCAAGACAGGAGAAGATTAGTTAGAGACATACTCATTTGGTTCCAGACACTGGGCTTTTCGTTTCTGCATTCTATTGTCTTTCTCATCACTGAGAGACTGGACCTGAACTAGGCAGAGCTAGACTGAACCCTCATGATGTTCAATAACCTTTCTCAAAGCATGCCAGTGTACACTCATGACAAGAACTCTAGGTTGGAACACAAGGAACCAGAAGTCAATGATTTTGGACATCAGTCTTCACAAAGAGTTTAGGTTTTGGCTGGCTGTGGAGGACACAGGAGAAGCTGAGAGGAATTCTGAAAGCAGAACTTGTTGTGAGGTTATTCTGTGAAGTTTCTTGATTCCTGATTATCTTGTGCAGTCTTACTGAGACTTGTTTTGGCCTTGCTGACTTTAGCTTTCCATTTGGTCATGGAGAAAGAGCATCCCAAGCAGGAATTTTAAAATCTAGCTCTCAGGGAAGAAAGTGTTGAAGCTGTCATGAGCCACAGTGGCGTTTTAGGGTAGTCATGCTAAGTACGGATGACATGAACTAATAAAACAAACCGATAAAACTCCACATCAATTTTTGAAAGTTCATGTATTTGTGTCTTTTATGGTTAAATCAATTTGATCAATAACTTATTTATATTAACTTACTTTTCTGCCAAAACACTACAGTACATATAATATCTTACAATGTTTCACAGATCCAGTCCTCACATTATTGATTAGTAAAATATGGCATTTCAGGGGTCTGGAAGGGACTTTCAGCATTGCCACCATGACCCTGAGGTTATTATTCCTCAGAATGAAAACTCTTATCCTTATGTAGAACTTCAGGGAAACCTATAGGCCATAGAAAGGAGCTTTGTCAGGAGTTAATGCTAGCACATTAGAACTGGGCCATAATGGCAGATGGAATCCTCATCCTTCTTCTTGTAGAGACAGGCACCAGCAATCTGTCTTTTTCCTCTGTCACCCTAATTTAGGTCATTCCTATTGTGAGCCTTCTCAAATAGTACCTGTCTAGGTCTACAATTTATGTTGAGGAAGCATTAATGCAAGCCTTTAATAAGATGTAGAACTTCACAGTGTGGTGTTATCTGTGGATGATATATATTAGGGCCTCAGACATGTTTAATTAGGTTTGCAAGAGTCAAATTGACTTTGGCAGTAATGAAGCTTTCTTTTTCTCCCTTCCTCTCATAGTCTGATAAAATAACATAGAAGATGATCAAGAAATATCTTTTCAGTTTTGGTATCTTTGTAAATCATCCTCTCTCTATTCTGAAAAAATCCTCATCTGTCTTAAAAATCCAGTTCTTGCTGAGGATAGACAGAAAGGGAGAGCTTGTCAAGGAAGACACAGTGTGGCCAATAATAAACCTGAGGTGTTGAACTACCAAATATTGAATGTGTATCTTTTGAAAACATTTGGTAAGTATTTAATAAGCATTTACATTGGAGTACCAATCAAGGGTTTTATAGTTGTGCTACTCACTCCAATTTTATAGGAAACTTTGATTTTGACTTTAGAGTAGGAACAATTTGATCAACATTTTGAGTATCAGGAGCCAATACTTAAAACAAACCTCTGTCCCCATTACTTTCTCTTAAGCAAAATATCCAAGTTTCAGTAAGACAAGCCCCTTCCCTATGTGATGAATAAAGT